CCGGCCCACTCAAGCTGGCTCAGGGTCTGCTGCTCTGGGGCCGAGGTGAGAAGGGAAGAGCAGTGCTGACGACAGCAGAGCCACTGCCAGCCAGGCCAAGGGCCCCCGCCACCCCCACGGCCTCGGCAGCCCCAGCTGCAGCAGGAGCCTGGCAGATGCCGTGGGCTGGGACGACTGGCCTTCCCAGCACCGCGGGCTGCGGGCTGTGGGCTTGCCTCTCGCCGCGTACCACCGTGCGAGCCGCCCCTGGCCACTGGGCCTGAATGGGACTTGTTCTGCCCGGCATTTAACAGGCCCAGCCTGCGGCGTGGGCTCCCATGGGCTGGAGGAGGACAGAGCCTCGGCCTGGCACCTGGGCTCTGTGCCTGCCCAGGTGCACTTTCTGCCTTCACAAGAGCCAGGCTGGCGGGCTTGGGTTCCGTCCCCTTCCCGAGGTGTGAACTCATGCCCCGTCAGCGGGGACTGGTGTCCAGAGCAGGTGGCTGCTGCGCCCTCTGGCCTGTTCTGCGGCTTGCCCTCCCCGCCCCCCTCGATGACAAGGCCGGCGCCCGTTTTGGCTTGCCCTCCCAGCCCCTCTAGCTGACAAGCCCGGCTCCTGAATGGCTCTGCGTTGCACTGGGGACCCAGGCAGCAGCTGCTCTCTCCTGGCCTGGGATCTGGTAGGCTGTGGGCAGCTCAGCACATGGGCCTTCTGACCCTGCAAGGACCCTGCCCAGGTGGCCAGGCCGAGTGGAGATGACAGCAGAGCTGTCCAAACTGGTGTAGGGTGTGGCGAGGGTGCACAGTCGCCAGGTGCTTCGCACAGCATCCAGCTGAACGCCACTTCTAGAGCGGCAAGCACCTTTCCCCAGTGCAAGGTTTCCTTCTGACCCCAGGAGAGGCCAGCCCAGAGGGCAGGCAGACAGGCCCGGTGGGTGTGAGCAGCGCCAGGTCAGGGGGGAGCTGTGCTGTGTGCCTCCCTGAGCCAGGTAGAGGCAGAGGGAGCCATGAGGTCCAAGTGGGTGTGGCTCCTTCCCCTCGCCCCTGCTGGGCTCTGGGGCTGGGCCAGGACACAGCTGCATGCGGGCACACCCCATCCCATCCTGGGCTGCAGCCTCTGCTGTGCGCCTCCTTGGAGAAAAGCAGCAGACCTAGCCCAGAGGGGCCAGCAGCTGGGCCAGGACCGGACGTTAGCAGGGGTGCTGGGCGAGGCTGGGGGACCTGCCTTCAGGAACCAAGTCACCTCCAGGCTGCAGGAAGCAGCAACCTGGACAGAGCCGCGCCAGCCCTGGCGTCTGGGAGAGGAGGGGGAGCCCGGTCCAGAGCTGCAGCCCCGGGCACCAGCGCCGCTCTGCTGGTCAGGAGCCCAGCCCAGAGCTCCAGCCCTGGGTGCCAGCGCCGCTCTGCTTGGCGGGCTTTATCCCCTTCGGCAGTGCCAGTCTTCCCAATCTCGCCTTATGGACAATAAAGGCTTTAAACCGACTGAGCGGTGGCATCTATGCTGCAGCCCCTTCCTGCAGAAGCCTCGGAGCCCACCCGGTGCCGGCGATGCTTTTCTGCTAAAAAGGCTGCAAAGGGCCAGCAGGTCCCGTAGACTGAGCTCCTCTTCTGCTCAGCACGGCGCTGTCCCGTGCCCTGGAAGGAGAGGGGCTGGCCAGTCCAGGACTCGCTCCCTTGGGAGCCTGCAGGCTGGTGTGGAGGGGCCTCACCTCTGCTCTGTAGAGGGATGGCCCTGGGCAGCTGTGACGTGAAGGTGAGGAGGGCGTCCTCCAGGCAGGGCAGAGCTTTGGGGTTGTCTCCTGGGGTGCGGCAGGAACACCTGTTACCCGTGTCCTCGAGCCCCCCGTCGTGTCTCAGCCCTGTGCCCTAGGCATAGCAGCTGTGGCCATCCTAGCCAGCGGCCTCACCACTCCCCCTGCAGCCACCCTGGAAAGGCCCAGAAGGTCTGGAGGCCTCCCAGGTCTGCGGGGGCTCCCTGCTGCAGTGCAGGGCTGCACACAAGTCCGGAAGCACTATGGACTCTGCTCCCTACAGCCCTGCAGGGTGACTCCTCAGGGGAGCTGGCGTGCCTGGGCCGGGCAGGACTCTAGGCCAGGAGGGCCAGGCTGAGCCCCCTTGCCGGGGACCTTGCTGCAGAGGTCCATGTCTGTCTGGGCCCAGGTGTGGTCTAGGGCCCTGGGGTCCTGCTGGCTGTGCCGGTTGTCTGGAGATACAGGAGGGCCAGAGGCGGGCTGGAGGTGGGGGTCTCCCATGCAGGGCGAGCTGTTCCGGGCAACTCCCTCTTTTCTTCCTCCTTGGCTGGGGCAGCTCAGACAGTGTCCTGGACACCTTTGTACTCCGTCAGTGCGTGGGGCTGGGCCAGGACAGCAGTCCCCAGCTGTTCTTTTTTTTAATAATCCTTTTTTTTTTGAGAGGTTTTTGCTATAGGGCACCTGTGCTTGCTAGAAAAACAGAGAGAGACAGAGAGATAGAAAGCGAGAAATCACCCCCCAGGAGGGATGGACACGCCACAATCCCTTCTCCTCCATTCTCCTCTCGGGATCTTGGGCACGCACGCACATGCACCTGGTGTGAGTTTAAGCCACTGGGTCCAGGACTCGAACCGCGGTCGTCTAAATGGGAGTCCAGAGACTTAGCCATTATGCCAACTGCTGGTCCAAATAATCCACATTTTTAAAAAGTATTAT